GTGGGTTTGGGTGGTTGGGGGGGATGATGGGCGGCGCTGCTGCTGCTGTGGGGGGTGGAGGTGGGAGTGGGAGAGCGAGTGTTGATGAGGGGATGGTGAGGTCTGAATGTGAGTTTGTTTTGTTGTTTTCTTTGTTTTTGTTGTTTTTGTTTTTGTTTTTTTTTGGTAGAGTCCCACGGACTCAAGTGAATATGACGTTTATGTTTGAGAGATTTTTTCAAAAAACAAGCTCTAGCCTTAAGAAGTTCTTTTTATTTATTTTTCCTTTCTTTTGTTCTTTCTTTTTTCTTCTTTTTTTTCTTCCGTCAGTGGGCCCAATCTCATCCTAAAACCACATCTAACCAATTACGCCTCCAATTAACCCCATCCACAGCCCGCACCTCCTCCCGCCGTTCAACTTCCCGCCGCCGCTCCAACTCCCTGTCATCTAGCCACCACGCACATAACAACAACCAGGACGAAACTGGAACACCCACAAACTCGACATGGACAAACTGGTTCCGGAGGAAGGAGACGGGGGATGGGATGGAGGTGGATGGGGAGGAGAGGAGGGGGAGAAAGTGGAGGCTCTTTGGGAGGAGGGAGAAGGATGGTGCGGGTGGTGGCACGAGTCCTACGAGGAGTGAGAAGAGTGGGAAAAGCGGGAGGGGTGCGTTTTTTTCTATTTTTCTATTTTTTGTTTTTTTGGGGGGTGAGCTGGCAGGGAGGAGGGCGAGTTTATTTTTTTCTCTGATTCCTCTTTTCATTATTAACTTATTCTCCCTTCTGATCTTTCTTCCTTTGCCTTACAAAAGAACGCCGCTCCAGATCTCGCTCAAGAGGCTCCACATGGCTCTTCCCAACTTCCCACCGCAACCCCTCCCCAACCCCAACCACCCATACCCCCCAAAAACCACCACCTCCAACCACCTCCACCACCACAACACCTCCTCGCAACCGTCCCCCACCCAAATCCATTGCCGACCAAGTCTACCGCTCCTCCTCCTCCTCCACCGCCATGCAGCTCGACGATCCACCTAATCCTCCTTCGTCGACGGCTGCTCCGATGATAATGGATGGTGCTGGCGGGGGCATTGAGGCAATGATGGATGCTGTCTCGATGGCGTCGAGGTCTACGGGGGGCTCGGGGGTTAGAGGGGGGAGTGGGATGAGGGGGAGTGATACGGGGTATCAGAGTGATGAGAGTCGGAAGGGGTGGCCTTTGGGGGTCGGGGTTGTGGGAGGGGAGGGGGGGTTGGTTGGTGATATGCCGAGTAAGTGTTTGGTTGTTTCTTTTCTCCCTTTTTTCGTTTGTTTTTTTCGTTTGCTTTTATGATTTGTTTTGGTTTTGGTTTTTATCAGTTGTGGTTTTGAAGCCGGGAATTTAATGGAGGAGATGGGATGCCTTTGTGATGGTGTTTATTCGAATATGTTTTTTTTTATATTTTGTATTGGGGGGTTTCATTTGAGCGAAGTACTCAAACCAAACACTAACCATTCAATCTTTTTTCAATAACAACAACAGTCTCACCACAACACTCCCACATCAGCTCCTCAACACCCCCAACCCACCCCCACCACCACCGTCCCCAAAACCCCTCACCGCTGACCCCCACCTTAACTCCCTCTCTTCCCACTACATTGCGCCAAACCCCCTACGATCACCTCCTATACGCGATCCGCTCGAATAACCTCCAACAGGTCCACCACCACCTCACCATCGGCACCTCTTTGACACCTCCAACGCCACACCACCCAGACGCGACGACACCCCTCATCCTCGCCGCCCGACACGGGTTGGACCAGATCTGCCGGGACCTTATCCTCCACGGCGCCAGCATGGAGGAGCGCGATGAGGCAGGGGTGGGTGGCACGCCGTTGTTCCACGCCGCGTTGCACGGTCACGCCTCGACGTGTCAGATGCTGATCTCGCTCGGTGCCGACCCTGACGCGGTGGAACGCACCGGGTGCCCGCCTCTCTACGCGGCAGCCTTCCACGGCCACGTCTCGTGCTTGAAGGTGCTTGTTGAATCTGGACGGGCGAGGGTGGATCTGTGCGCTGGGGAGAATGGAACGGCTTTGCATGGTGGCGTTGAGGGACGACAGGTTGGAAGCGTAAAGTACCTTTTGCGACGTGGCGCGGATCCAAACCTTCCTGACGCGAGGGGTCGTTCGGCGTTGTGGCAGGCGAGCTCCATGGGGTTCCTGAATGCCGTCGAGGTTTTCCTGGACCACGGCGCGGAGATTGACGCTCCCTCTCAGGATGGGACGCGACCGCTCTGGATCGCGATTGTGAATGATCATGAGGAGGTTGCCAAGCGACTTGTTGAGCGTGGGGCGGATGTCGGGGGCACCTTGCCGTCGTTCATGGGGGGGAAGGAGTACGGCTACACACCTCTCCATGGCGCCGCGCATCGTGATCACCCGCGGCTGGCTCACGCGTTGATTGAGAGGGGCGCAGATCCGTTCCGAGAGGACCTCACGCAGCATCACGCGCTTCACCTTGCGGTCATGTCGGATTGTTTGGACGTTGCCGAGGTCCTGCTGTGGCATTGTCCGGCGTTGGCGGATCACCCTGGAGGCGTGTCACGCACCCCGTTGTTCCTGGCCGCGTTGTGGAACGCGAGGAGGGTGGCTGAGCTGCTTGTTGGACGGTTTCGGGTCACGGTGGATTCTTGGAACGATTCCAACAGCTTGCGCGTCACGCCTCTCAGGGCTGCCGTGCAGGCTGGGCATGGGGATATGGTTCGACTTCTCCTTGACGCTGGGGCGGATCCGAACGCTACTGTTGCCGTGGACGGGTCGACTTGTCTTCACGTTGCGGTTGTCGGGGGTCACGTTGGGATCACGTCCTTGCTCATAACGCATGGAGCGACGCTCGACGCGCAGCTTCACCCCGGAGGAGAAACATCCCTCCACCTCGCCACACGTCGACGAAAAAAGAAGTCCAGTGGCCACCCCCCGCAAACCGACTCTGCAACGCTCGTGCGACTCCTGATCAACGCCGGAGCCTCCCTCAACCTCACCGAAAGCCGGGCAGGCATGACCCCGCTCCACATGGCGGCAAGGGAAGGCGACCTTGCAACCGTCACAGCCTTGACGCAGGCCGGTGCCAACCTTGAATCCCTCACTCACGCCGGGTACGCGCCCCTCGCCATCGCGTGCCTGAACGGGCGATTGAAGGTTGCTCAGGAGCTGATACTCCGTGGGGCGAGCGTGACGGCGAGAGCGTTTGATGGGACCAGCGTTCTTCACGCTGCTGTTATGAATCCGGCTGGGGGTGTTGGTGGGGAGGAGCTTGTTGGGTTGCTTGTTGGGAGGGGGGCGGATGTGGATGCTGTTGATGGGAGGGGGGATTCGGTTGTGGGGGTTGCGGGGAGGGCGGGGAATTTTGGGGCGGTGAGGGGGTTGATTGCTGCTGGGGCTGGGTTGGATCAGTTGGCTTGGCCTGGTGGTGCTTCTTTGGGGGTTGGGGATGGGTAGTTTTTGGCTCGCCCTTTTTTTTTTTTTTTTTCGTGAAGACCTTGTGTTGTGTGTTTTGATGGTCTTTTTGGGGGGGGGATGAACGACCTGCTGGAGGGGTGGGGGTTTGGGTTTTGGGGGAACGTGGGAGGGTGATGCATTTTGGTTGGGGTTTTCTGTTTGGACTAGAACTAGATCGTCTATTTTTTTTTCTTTTTTTTCGGGCGAACGTCTATTTCCGCGGTGAGGGTTTCGCGGTGGGCGATTTTTGAAGGGTCTGGTGGTGGTGGTGGTGGTTGGTTTTTGTTTGTTTTTTTGTTTTGTTTTTTCTCTTTTTCTTCTTCTGGGTGTTTTGACTTTTATTGATTTTGATTTTGATTCGCATTTTTTTCTTTCTCTCTTTGCTTCTTTTTTTTTTTTTAAAACGTTGAGGATTGGGGGTGGTGTTCCTCATGGATGTTAATTATCATTTTTTATTTTTTATATATGGTAGAATTGTATCGCTATGATGATGATGATGTCTTTATTGTTTTTTTGGGGGGGGTTGTTTGTTTGTTTTGTGGAGCGCAGCACTTTTTTTTTTTTACATTTTTTTTTTTTTTGATATCCGGGGTTGCTTTGTTTGTTTTTATCAGTTGGAGGGGAAGGGAGGGTGAGAGGTCGGTGCTGCACTTGTCTTTGTTGGTGTTTGGTTTTCCTCCCTTGAACTCTTAATAATAGATACGCCTCATTTTTGAATCTTTAAATTTCAGGTACATCTATCTAGCTGACTTTCCAAAAAAAACAGTTTCTTTTCACTTCCTTCCCCAACTCGACTTCATCGACCACTTACTTAATTGATTGATTGATTGAAGAGAGCGTACCGTCTGGTTAAAACCGAACGAGCCCGTCCGCAACTGACCAAGTAGTGCAACAACCCATTCTGGAAACTCATACAGGAGATGCGCGGTTCACAATGAGAGGAGTGTCGATGTGGCAACGAAACGTTTACAGTTGCGACATCACAACGGGCATCTGGCCAGGAATCGGTACGCGCAATTTTTTGACGGAACCAGGACAGGGAGGCTGACACGCACCCATCCTGGCAACTCAGACAGCAGACGTGCAGTTAGAAGTGTCGGTGTAGCAACAGAACAACAACTTTACAACATCACAACAAACAACGCATAAACCCAGCAACTACAACCACGTCAACACGGCATCCAACCTCCAAACCAACCGACACCCAACGCGAGCCGTCCCACACGCGCGGTGGGAAACCGTGAACCATGGGGCAGCCAAAAACCTCATTTGTTTGGCAGGCAGCACGGTCGTGTGGCGCCGAAAAAAGGTTGGACTTGTGCGGGAATTGTTTGATGTAAGCCGGTGGACGGCTGGTCGTGTCCTTCATGTGACGTTGCCATATGTTATTCATCAGCTGCGGACGCGTTCCCGGGAAGAATTGCGGGGTGTGTTGTGCTTGCGTGGGTGTTGTGACTGATGGCGCGGACGGTCTTGGTAGGTGAGGGCCTCAAAGTAATCTCAGTTTGATAATGTACTTTTAAAACCAAAAAAGTGTGGCTCCTGTAGTTTAGTGGTATAATATTCGCCTCGTATGGGACTTGCTCCCAGAAGATAGCGAAAGGTCGGCGGTTCAATCCCGTCCGGGAGCATCAGCATTGGTGGTTTAGTGGTAAAATTAACCGTTGCCATCGGTTAGCCCCGGGTTCGATTCCCGGCCAATGCACATAGCACTTATAGCTCAGTGGTAGAGC